GCTTTATCATATCCAATATCAAACTCAACTGCTTTGAGTTTTTTTAATATTTTCGAAAATTTCCTGACAAGGGGTATGTCTTCGAAAATATCAAAATATGAATTTCTGGTGAAAGTTTAAACGAGCGAAATCAGGCCTTTTTAGTGTTTTCGCCCCTTTGAGTGGGTGTGGCAGGCGCAAATGAGGCCATGAAATCAGACCACTTCAGGGTTTCAGTAGACTCACAGACAGCGTATCAAAGGGGCATGCAAATCTGGGGATGCGAGGTAGAGGTCCCCTCCTAAGTAGTTATCCACCTTGCATTTTCTTACATGCTTGTTTAGGTGCTCGTAGATGTTGTCAAAGCCGCCCATACTCGAAAAACTTTTAAATTTGAGATAAAACTGAGTTCAACTTGAGAAAGCAACATTACATGAGCCTATTAAACTACAAACTTGGATGAAAGTTTGAGAGATTCCTCCGACTCGACAGATTGAGTGATCCTTGCCTCGGGTGAACTATTCCGAGTGTACCTCTCAGTCAGACCTCACTATTTTTTGGCATAAAGTTTAGAATGCAATCTGTAAAAACAAACCAAGTCACCAGCTATAACTTTTTTCCTGGCTTTTTATGTTTTAGGGGAAAACTTGTCTTTAAAAGGAAAAAAAGATTGTTGTTTGCTGGTTTCAATTCAAATCCGACAGACTTATATAAAAATTCTAATGCAAATCCTTGAGACAGGTACAAGATATCTGTCAGTCTGTCAAGTTCGAGGTACAAAATTGTCATCGAATTCCTAACTCAACCATTTCGGGCATTAAATAATCAGCTTACTTTAGTAAGACATCTTTGGGTAGGGTCTCTCTGACGAGGTGTTTTGTAAGTTAAAATGCAATTTTAATGTGGGCTTCTCAGTGTCTTAAATTACGCCAATTGTGTTTCTCGCTCCGAGACATAAGTTGTTTCACTTGCTTGTAATCAACAACAACGAAGAGTAAGCAGCATTTAAAACCAATCCCAAAATGTAAACTGATCAAATCGCGATATAAAATGTAAAAAAAAACAAGAACAAGTCGTGGCTGCAACCAAATATGTAAGAACAACAAGTTAAATAAGTTAACATCGTCGTCATCTACTGTACGTGGTGCAGAATTGGTTCACATACATACATGATGCTACATACATACATACACGGACTAGGCACGGTGGATGATAGAGAAACTGTAGGTAGTGGAGATGTACATACATACGTAATATAGAAGTATGCATTGAAGAAGCTATCTGAAATCTAGTGAATCTGAATGTTTTTGAAATTGGAATGTTAAATTTCTAAGAATCGCCTCGGAGCAGAGGCATCTCGACAGAATGTAATAACAACACTTCATCTCCTCGCAACAGATAACAATTTTACTACTCACTCACTCGCACCATTTCATTAAATTACCTCCAGTCACTCGCTCCTAATCCTAATTCAACTAAACCAAACAGGCTCAAGGAAGAGGTCCATGTACAAGTGTTAATTCTACTCCAATTCTACTTAATCCAAATATGTACATAAGAGATCCCAGGGCAGACCACAGCAAAAAGATACTTTGCCATCAATTACTCCAACAGTTCACCCTCAGACCTCTGACAACATACAGCTAAACAAACTTCAATTTCAATTTCGAAATCAATGTTTCAACCAGTTTCGTCAGGATTGCATTGAGTTGGACTCGGCCACATTGTTATACGTGGCTCATAATTTTACACGAATAAAATACTTTTGTTGTATGTACAAAGTTTAAAAATTTCAGTTTTCTAATTTCATAATAAAGTCTTCCAAATGAGTTATGAAGTGAAATACGATCTCCCGTAAAAGATTATATGACGATGAAATTACTGAATGCCTTGATTTAAGTAGATGATCAAGTTACAATTTTATCTACATATGTAAATATACATATGCTCGTTTAGAATTTATAGCAAGATGAACCTTGGCTGAATTTTAAATTCAATGAAAATGATAACGGAAAATTGAGATATAAATTGATAGTTCAACTTGAAGAATAGTGCATTATGCATGCTAAATATAATTGTATTGTTGACTCTAGTACTGAAATTGTACTGTTTGACTTATTAATTATACGCCCAAATCCAGCTTTGATATTCTTACTGTAATTTAATGTTTATTATTAATCCTAAGCGCGTACGTACATATTGAAGGCTTATATAACCCATGTTTGTGTAATGATTTAGAGGTACTACTCAGGTACAGGTCAGGCTGTTTAGTATTTGTGCTCAAATTTTTCCATAAAAGTCGGTAACATGGATCGTACTTTGAGAAAAATTGTTATATAAAGGAGAATAAATTAACATGAGCCTGCCAATTTAGAAGCTAAAATATTTTGACTTATCTGGTTATTCTCATTATCACTGGTGAACGAATGTTCAACATGTCTGATATCCTCGCCAAATTTGTAAAGTTAATTATCACCTGTGTGCTCAAAACTTCAACCAGAAAACAACACAATTTTTATATTTTTTCGAAATCCGCCTACACAGTCATCTCTAGATATTAATATGAAGAATGTGGATTTAGCATTGATTATGCAGGAAAATTAAACTTCTTGGTTTTTTTGTTTTCAATGCGTACTATACGTATGTACATATGGATAACTATCAAGTGCGATTCCTGATTCGTTGAGCATGAAAAAAGTGTACATGTGATGGAGCAGTAATATTATGTAAAAGCATGACAAAACAAAAGATGAAAGGTTAGCACAAAGTCATAAATGTGATAAATTTTAGACCTTCTGTTTATCACACTGAGTGACTAAAGCTAAAAAGGAGCGAAGCGAGACGAATGCATGGCTACAATATCTGTAATAATAATGAGATTTGCGACTCACGAGTGTTGAACAAGCTGGATTAGTACACAGTGGAGTAAAATATTTAGTTAGCAATTCTACTCCTTCAGCACAATAGAATAGAGAAATGAGGTTCGTAAGGTTCGTAAACCATTTCCATTGTAGCTGGAATAATGTAATATGATTATTATGTATTCGCATTTGTTCTGGCCATCATCATTGAATCCAATTTTGCAGAGACATGATGAAAAATTAACAGTAAATTGAAGAAGGGCAAAAATAGGTCTAACAATATCGTATGTAATTCTGGTTGCGATACATGTTTGCATTAAGAATATATGCTGGATGATGAAGTTGTTTGTTAGGAGACGAGAGTAAAGACCGTCTCGAGGATTGATTAAAAGATTTGAGTCAATACCGGAGCAGGATATATATATTTACGTCGTGTAGTGTTTCATCCTTTGTTATTTATGAAAAACAGGCGAGCGTTTAAGAGTTCAAACCACATTATGTATGCTCAGACATGGTCAACTGAAACTAACAATATTAATAATATTCCGCCTGGCCCAAGCTGGTCGTTTGGGCGAGGTGGAAAAATACTAAAGTGGGAATGCAATATGCGGAACGTGCATACACCAACCACCAAACCGACGTAAATTGTTAATACACCCCGCCTTGGTGTGATGTGATCAATCGATTTATTTATGCAGGAGGGTTTCACCACGTCCCTTTAGAATCTTCATAACTCACAAAATATTAATCAACACTTTTAATCTATTTGCTCATTGTGTGCAGAGGGCATCATATATTCTACACCACCACGCTCAATTTTATGTGTGAATAGGTGAGCGAAGGGCAAAAATGTATTTATTTCATTCCGCACAGCGCCGAAACTCCATAAAATATGGACAACGTTCGTTGAAAGCAATCATTCACTTTTAATTAGCATGCAAAATTGTCAAGATCTACTTAATCAAATGGGCTGAACGTTCCAAGATGAAGACGACTTTCCTTAAGTTATCACAGCCAGTGTGACTTGAGGGCATATCGGGTTATATAGGCTACACCCTCTCTCTCACCCTCTCTCTCTCTTTCATGTGCTTACGTAGATATGTACACACCTTCCAATTCTTTCTGAATAATAAAGTGCGAATCATTTGAGAAATTTGATAGAAATTTACCTTCTGCTTTATGAATCAACCATCACCCTCGATTCTTACAAACTCAATGAAAAAGCGCAACAGCACAGCATCAAAGTAAAAATATGATTGCTACATTTGAACAAGTACAAAAAGTCTGTCAATGGAGTTTGTCAGAGGATTGAGAGGGATCCGTAATCGTAGTCCTAAGAAAGTTATGCTTTGCTAATGTTTTATGCATGAACGTGAATGTGACTGTTACATGCTTGAGTAGTGATGATGACCAAAATGGAAATCCATGATTTATGCAGTAACACGACATTAATCTAAACAGTTTTTCATTTGGCCACCAACTTGAGTTCCATTGTATCGAAGTTTCAGAGGGAAATTGATATTTACGAACGGATCATATCAATTAACTACAAAACATAGAATTCTCAGTATTTCATTGGTGAAATGGTTATTTTAACTCGCAACAAATTGTCGTTATTAATTTATGATCCGCTCATGCATGCATGTATTTATATAAAAATATACGAATGTGTTAATGGAAAAGGGTTTGTGAGATCCAAGCAATTGGAAGAATAAACAATTTTAGAATTATTCATTATTTGTAATACGTAACTTAAATAAAATGCGCCACAACTGAAAAATTTGTCAAATATAAACTTTTTCTGTGAAAATATCTTTCAGAAAATTTGATTGAAAATAAAGTTTAAGACCTGTTAATTTCAGTTTGTTGTTTGAAACTAGAGTTATAAATTTGGTGTCTGACAAACCATGCAAATTGTAGGCATTTTTTAAACTTTGCATCGCCATTGGTAAATTACCACTGGGTAATATTCATCTATATATGTATGCAGGTAACTTATAGGGTTGTGAAAAATAGCGTGAATGCGATTATTCTTATATACGGCGCTGTGCTAGTGCTCAGTATGAATGTCACCCCGGAATTAAGTATGATTGTGGATGATGTGAAGTACCGAACTGTAAATGAAATGTTCTCAAGTAAAACAGGAGATTGGTTAATTACCTGCTGCATTTTTTCGAAATCAATCATTTTTTCGAAATCGAGCCATGGCCGCTGAATGTGCCTCGGATTGTGATGACGATGATGCCTTTTTCTCGCAGATTCCTTTGCGCCCCCAGAACGGACGACTCTTCCAAATGCACCAGTACTCGACGACGTAAACGTAGAATTAGTTATGTTAGCCGCAGTCATAAGATTAATAAAATTTGACGAAGGAGTTTCATTAGAGTTAGAAATTGTTGTGTAGAGATGAGATCTTGAAATTCCATCCGATCTCTCCTGAAATGCTCCTCCGCCTTCCCTCGCAATGCCGTTACTTGAAGTAGCATTATTAGTTGATGAGATAATTGAATACGGGGAAACGATGTCTGGATTAAATTTCCGAATCCCTCGGAACACGCCATGACTCCGTTCAGCCATGTTGACGGCACCCAATGAGCAGCTTAGTGAAGAACTGACCACGTTACTTGAAATCGGGGGAGCAGTGTGCATTGCAGTACTTGTAGCAGCCAAGATGACGGGTTCATCCGTGGTACTCGTGACGATGGGTGGACTTGGACCAGAAAATAGAAACAGCTTGGGTGGGGGTGACTGAGAGCGAAGTTTACTTCCTTGTGTCCATTCACTTGGCTTGTGAGCATCCACCGGGGGCGAAGTGCGAAATTCAACCGGAGTCGACAGGGGACGCAACAGCCCCTGAACCTCATCATCCGAACTGCTTGTACTCTCAACGCTCAGCCTGTTTGCTGCCATTTGCGACCATTTACGTTTGCAGTTCTCAGACCCCGATGATCCCCGGTTCCTTGCATTTTCTTCCAGTAAATCATCTCCATCCGGCAAGTTCACCTCATCGTCAACGTCGTCATAGCTGGACGAGTTGATCACCTCCAACTCCTCTTCCGAGCTGTGGTGGTCGTACGCGTGGTCAGAGTCGGAGGGCAGAGCTGAGTCAATGTTGTTGTACCCGGGATCAAACTGACTTCCGGCAGAATCTCGACCACCCCCACCACCGCCTCCGATCATCATCATCATTTCTCCAGCACCTGGGCCTTCCTCGTTGCAGTGAAGTGAACCCCGTCGTGGCAAAGGGTACAAGCCACGTTCTCCCCAGTCGTTCTCCTCTCCGTGTTCCATCACTGCAAAATACAAAGAAAACAAGAATTAACATTCTGCATGTAGAGCAATTATCATATTACTTCACACAAATACGCGTTGCACAAAGTTTGTACATATGCACACGTAAACGAGGAGGAAAAGGAAGTCTGGTGCATATATAATCTTGCAGTCATAAATCAACAACAATTTACGAAAATCCAATGTTCTGTCGGAAAGTTCGGAAATTTACAGCCTATAAGATTTGCCACCTTGAGACTTTAGTGAGAAAACAATAGGACATAAAGCACTTAAAAATTCGAGGATCATGTCATTCAAGATCAGGAAACAACAACAACTGATCACTGAAACTATAAAAAAACGTTGCACAAACACTGCCAAATAATAAAATATACCAAAAAGTTAAACCAGTTGTCTTATTTTCTGAAAGTCGTAATTTTTAAAAGTGTAGGAGATGTCTTAAATTTTTACTGCAGTTTTATTAAGCCCGTGGACCAAAACCACAGCAGAACGAGAGAGAAAAAGAGAGACCAGACCTTAGAGATCAAACTAAATTTAAAACCATACGAATAAAAACTCCGTTTTCACGGTTGGGATGAATAAAATTGCTTAACACTTCAACAGCTCAATACCCAGCAGAGAGATGTGCACATGGACATTTCTTGAACCTCACATCCTTTTAAAAGCTCGAATTTTATTGTCAATGAAAAATATACTATTCTCTTCAAACCTGACATCTTAATACTTTAAACCGAGGACAGTCAATCCAACGCTGCGCTACTTTTAGAGAGACGAAATAAGGAAACTTTGCTTCAGCTCTTAAACCTCTGCACTCTTCCACAACAATAAATATGTACTTATTTCGTATTTGAATGAATGAACTATGCACGCTAAAAAATGTAATGGATTCTGAAAATATTAAAATTGGCACGATTGAAACGTATTCAACTGCCCGAAACTGCACTATGTACATAAGTAGTAATTTATGTATAACCGAAAAACAAAACCAAATTGCCTTAAAATGATTGTAACCACCCCCAAAAATTATTTATTGCTTTCGGAAATGATAATATTTATTTTGAGCGATCCTAAATTTAAACCTTGATTAAAAGTTCGTTGATTTGGTTAAAACACAAAAATGCTGGTGTCGGACATGGTTCGTGGGTGATTTTCATTAAGTTTAAACTTTTTTATTACCAAGTTTTCGATGGCGTCTGAATATCATCATGATGATCGAAATGAACAAAAATACCTCTACACTACGAAAATGAATGGCTGCATGTATTCTTAGTTGGGTTTATTCAGGCATTTAAATTCAAACCGTAGTGCAAGATTTATGAGAAACAAAGTGTCTGGCAAAATGAAGGAGATTTTATCTAACTTATTATCGTACTTCGTGTGTAGCAAGCAAGATATTTTAATTCTAAATAAGAATGCATGGTATTTATACATGTGTAAGAATATGTTTTTCAGGTTATCATGAATGCAACAGACCTGGTGCAGGTAGTTACTACACAAATGTCGTGTGTGTCACAACACACAAGACGACAACGCTGGCATTATTGACTGACTCACCTGCAGAAACGAGTGTGAAGAGAAGCATGTCGTAGGATTGTGAGTTGAAAATTACGTCGCATATTACACATTCAAAGTGAGAAACTACACTCCAAGACAAATCATCCTCCTCGTCCAAGTTGGAACATGAAAGCCAAGGAATACAAAAAAATAGGAGAGGAAACGAGCTATTATCTCAACAGACTTCGTGTAGACCCCTCCCAGTTGTACGATTTAGGTTCAGATTCACTACTGAATGTATAATAATTATGAAATAAATAAAAACAAAACTGCTCTAGGGGTTGTGGTAGTACATTCAACATTATTCTCTGACAGCACCACCAGCCGATGATGATGGAATGACGGACGCATTCATAAAAAGAAAATAAAATTATCATTTAACTTTCTGGAAGGTCTCGAATTTTAGCAAAATTCCGACTGACAGGGATTTGAGCCCGGACCACGAAGAGAAAATGCATACACACATATATTCGGTGCAACAACATGAATTTACAATTTACAATTTATTTGAATACAATACTGCGCCGAAACATAAGGACAATCGAGGTTCAAGAAAGAGTAGTGATCATCATTATAATCACAATCATCATCATCATTATCGTCATTATACGACCATTATGCTCGTAATGACACTGTGACTACACAGAGCCTGCTAAGAGAGCCTCAAGTCAAGAAGACGACTCGAGAAGAAGAAGAAGAAGCAGTATGGATGACGGAAAATTTCAATGACATGAAAAATGAATGAATGTGCAATCTTTGATGGGAAATCTTTGTAACTCCTGCTGGCCGATTCTTTCTTTGATCTTTCCAACAGTCCGCCCAGGCCCAACGACGTCATAATGACAAATATTGCATTGTAGAAAATTCATGCAAGTTTATTAGGTAGGAGTTGTAGGCCTGCATTTATTTATGTGGTAGTTGTATGTAAATATACAAGCTCTCTCCCTTTCTCTCTCTCCGCGTCTGGTGGACACAGCTTGCATGAAGCCAGATGGATTGGCTCAACCTGAACAGAGGACGGACTCCTGTTGACTTCTGAACTCAGGTTTATTTTATGGGGAATTGAAAGCACCTCTCTCCAACTGTTTTGCATAGACAAGATTTAAGGACAATTGAAGTTGTAAAATGCGAATGCAAATTTCTCAAGATTCAATTGAAATTTCTCGTGCTGTGCTCAATGGACTCAATTTACACCTTGTAATGCGCCCCCCACCATCCTCTTTCTCATGATTATTCATGCATCGAATACAGCGAGATCGTCAGGGGATCATGATATGGTATCGCATCCCTCTAATGGTTGCAATTATGACTTCTTAGGTGGCTTACTCACATACATACATACATCACCTCTGTAGCTATTTTCGTGTAATTTAGCTGGCACTTTCCAAAGTAAGCACACTTGTATGTGTATGAATATTAATGCTTGTATCCGGTTTATTCTCTTTCACATGAACTTCAGAAGGAGCAACAGCAAACGACCGGTTTAATATGGTATTAAATGCCATGAAACAAGGATTCCCAGTTTTTCCTGATTATATACTAATTTAAGCACATCACATAAACGTGCAAACTCGTACTTTTCGTACGGGAAGCATATGTACATATGCACGTATGAATTTTGACACGATAGTATCTTTTCTGGTTTAAAATCCACTACCCCGTCGTTCTTGTATGTATTTATGTACCTAATACTGCATGAGTAGCAACATGTACTTGGAATCTTATTGCAATCAATGAAAATAACATAATTTTTATGTAACAAACAAGGTTCTGATGTAATGCACAGAAAAATAAAATAAAACCGCAGTTCCAAGAGACGATCGCCAAACAACATAACACAATCTGGATGGAATGATTTCATCACCCAACTCTAAGCCTGAGCTTACCGCCCATTTAACCAGGAATAAATCACAGTTTGTCAGCAATAAGAATGCTTCAAGTATCTAAGGTACTTGCACACACATGTACATACATATATTCACCAATGAAAAATCACCATTTGGTTGAATTGCAATTGTGCCAACTCTGACTTCTTGGAAATGGTACATTTACTATTGGATATTCTACAGAAGAAGTCAAGACAAGTAGGTATACGATACACTATGTAGCACCAGCAATTTACGGAGCTGTACAATCACACCAGCTACACAGCAATCAACAACTCGTACCTCATTATGATGCTCATCAACTTATCGAATCCCTCCCGTCCTTTGAGAATCAACACCAATCACGTACATTTGCATGCGGATTATGCTACCCGTCACAATACAATAAGCATCCCACTGATGCTAAATTATGTGCACTTTAACTGACGGATTCTCTTAATCCAAACTCCTTGCCTCGCAAAAAATAGGCACATTTTGATTCTCATAATCTATGTACCTTAGTCCTTTCGAAAATATCTACTTATTGGCACTTACTTTTTATGAGGATCACATGATTAAGTGATTTGGTCCAAGAGGCAGATGTTATTATGCAGGATGATGATAATGATGATGATGACGACTACTGAGAGTGTGTATGACGAAGAAACTTTATGTAGGCCACAATAAGCCAAAAGTTTTTGGAAGACATTAGATTAACTAACTATTAGCACCAGAATACTGCACCAACATCATCAGTGAGTTAATCAGTCAAATTGTGATACAGTGTTGTCGTTCTACGTACGTATCTACTCAAAGTTGACTTGCAGTTCCAGCAAAAACCAAGAAAGTAGGACGGTTGGATGATGATGACACATCATTCGAGTTACTTTCATGCAGGGGGTTCTTTCACACGCCAAACATACCACATTGAAGTTTCAAGAGGTTTAATTCCTTTAAAACTAATACAATTTTTACCCCGAACCAGAGCTTATGTAGTCGTCTGTCTGTCTGTATTTCGGTGGGTATAGAACCCTTGATTTAGTTTTTGTTGCTAGAAACAGGTATCAGTAGAATTCAAGCACAACTTGTACTAATTAACGTCCAGCATCCCTTAAATTATTTGTAAATTATTTTATAAATATCATGAGCCATAAAGAAATGACTATTGAACTATAGTCTCACTGCATAATATTTTAATATTTTTCAAGGCATTTACACACGTCATTTACTCTGGCCGTCACCAGTACTTGCAAGTTTTTATCCATCAAGTTGATTTTCTGTATGAGTTATAAGAATTCTAAAGAGGCGTTTCTTAGAATTTCCAACTCTCTGCTCAGTCGTTCTAGAGCTTCTACCTCAGCAAAATGTCGGAATTAGCAGAACTTGATTACTAATAATTTACGAGTTTGTACTGGCAACAAATAAAGCAATTTTGCTTCGTGTTTCTTCTTCAAGAGCTATCATTCTCTTAACGTGACAGAAATGCTTACAATGATAATAAAAAATATTCAACAAGCGGTAATTACTCTCGGTTTAAAACTTGGACTGATGACCGTGGCTGTGAATTTAAAATGATGATCGAGTTCCTGTCTCGTCTCTCTTTGGCGTGTGTTTTAATCTTAATACTCAAACAATTTTGAGGCATGGTCGCCATTCTATGCTTTGCAACATGCACACGTTACACGGCACAAAATATCTAGAATCATTTATTTTCTTTAGAGACAATTACATATTGTGACAAATGACACCGACTCGCCATAAAAAATGAAGTAGGTAAAAAGGCTGTTTGTCCAAGACAGAAGGTGATATTCATCACGATCCTCTTGATTTCAGTTAAGAGTACTTTTATTTTATTTATTTTTCTCCTACCGCTATTACCACCAGCACCAGCACCACCAGCACCAGCACCAGCACCACCATCACCGCTTGCTGAGTCTGTGTACACATGTAGTAACTAAGGATAAGTGAACAAAACGTCTTTGTGATACAAATTGTCAGAATATTTAGTTTCACGTAAATTACTTTTCGTATGGGAAATGAGGAGGAGGAGGATTTTGTTTTGTTCTTGCTGCATTATGTGATGTGATTTTAACTCGAAATGATGGGGCTGACTGATTTTTGATGTGATAAAAAAACATTTTTCCCTGAGATGTGACTTTACATAATCTGAGAGTGAGATTCAATTGCTTACACCTTCGAGCCGCGTCGTCCCACTTGCTGTATTATACGTGACATAAATGGCCAACAGCAAGCTATCCACGTTAAATATTCCCAGGGACAAGAAAATTATCGGTTTTTTCTTTGAACCTTTGGCTCCTTGTGACTAGTCCCTCTGCTTTTCCCAGCTAAAATGCTAATGTCATATTTTCTTTTCCCAACACACACTGTAATGTGTCGCCAAAGTGGTTTGGCCAAAGTCACTGAACCACCTTTGCCGGCGACTCATCATTTTCCCTCTCAAGAATATTTTGTGACACATAAACTATTACCACCTCCACTCGATGCCCTGAGCGGCACAAAATGTGTATAATTTGTCAAGACTCAGAGTGACATTGTCGAAACCAGAACACTGCTTGTCTTTTCTAAGAAAATCAAAAGAACGCTTTGCTTAACAGTCACTAACTCCACCAGATGCATGGGCTTTACAAGATCAGAAGAAGAGGTACCCTGCCCAATACACTATGCATAAGTGCGTATTCGTCAATGACACCCTATACATAATTATAAATCCAACTCGATATGACAGTTTTACGTTGTATTATACATATTTATTTTTTATTTGGTTTTTACTTCTTGTACCAGAATTATTATTGAACTCGCTCATTTTTAGTTTATCTTGGCACTGACTGGTGTGAGGTTCGGTTAACAGTTTTCAACGTCAAAGTAAGTGTACGATGATGCAGCGATTGGACTCCTGGGGTGTGTTTGAAGATGACACTTTGGTGGTGATGTGAGAGACTCTGTATAAATACGAACGAACACTGATTTGCGCACGTTACGAGGGAATAGGGAAGAGCGATATTTAACGCAAGGAGACAAGCAAAACGAATAAAAGGAGGAAGCTGGGAGACAAATAAATGACATGACACAAGGACACATTAAATACATTTTTAGCGTCTGTGTTAGTTTTTCAAATTATGAAGAGTGCTGAGATACACGTTGGCTGGTCTTGTCAGCTTAGAGTGCTTAGAGTGTAGGGTTATGCTGAACATAATATGTTCCCCACATTCTATCGGAGCAATTTTTCATAACATGCAGTCCAATATTATTAAGACAGGTTTAAGACGCCATTAGTGATTAAATGTATTGCTCTGCTGTGCCTTGCCTTGGATAACACAGACCGTGTTCCTTGCTTAAATTCGACAGACCATTAAGAACCCCGAATTTTTGAATGGTATGTAAAAATTCAAATTTAAAATTAATGGACCATGCAAAATCGCTTCGTGAATAAAAAATATTAAAGTTCAACTACATGTTTAGAGACGACAAATAGCTCGAGCACCATTTTATTTTATGTGTTGTGTATGTATGATGGGATTCCTATTTTCTTTAAATATGTATATCTGGAGATTTCCTTTGTTGGGGAAAAAGGGGGTGCACAACATGAGCTCAAGCAAGTTACATGCTACATATGCATACGTGTTAATATTTCGTTGATACATTTATTACTTGATATTTATAATGTGTAGATGATTGCTTGTAAAAAATGTTTGTAGATTTGACGTTTTTCTGCGGTTTTTGTCATGCGTTATTATTTTTTGAAGAAACACCCATTGAAAACCATTAGAACAAACTCAAGAACATTGTGTTCTTCGTACGTCATTTCGAGTAATAATAAAATTTTGTCATTTTAGTCACGAGAATTTGTTGCCTAATGTACCGGTAATTTTTTCATAATTTTGAGATTGACGCTGTAAAAACTACGCTACCAAGTCACAAGGGTGAGCAGGTTTACAGAGAACATACATAGATTTGAAGATGGTGATGATGGTAAATATTCATCCTCAGTATTGCTCCTTCATACAACGTATCGACAACTTTGGCATGAAAATATTCAGATATGCAAATGCGGGACGTCTTTCATTTCACAACTCAGAGAAAAAGTGACAGGGTGAAGCGTAAAAGTTGTCTCAGTCAGAACTCCTCTCGGGCAAAGAAAGAAAAACAGAAAATTTCCACCAAGCAATTTCCCTAATCGTCTTTTGTCTTGTCATGTCACCAACGTACGTACCACGTACACGATTAGAGCACTGTTTGAGAGGAGCACCATACTGCACATCAAATAAATTTTGAAATATTCCAAAAGCAATGAAAAGAGAAAAGTTGTTATAATTCGTATCTGGACTTTGTTTCTTCTGGTTGCACATACAGAAGTATAAAATGCTGGAGGCTTCTGCCCAATCCATGCGTCACATTAAATATATACGTATGTACACATTTATACTGGTATATGTAAGTATTTGGGAGTTGAAGAGGTGGAGGAGGAAAGAGAAACCATTTGCCATAATAAAAATATTGAATATCTCAATATGACAGAGAATATTATTCTTCATCTCCAGGGTTCACTTATCCTTAACGTAGCAACATTTTGTTATTTCAGTTCCATTTTCGTACATTGTTTGATACCAAATTGCTTGTTGAGAACAACGTTGGGACGAAGAACAAGTGTGTGCTTTTGCATAAAATAAATGGAATGGATTGGTTGGAAGCCATGTATACACACCGTAAAATAAAATATACCCTTCCACTACCACCAACAACACTGACGAGCCTTTTGCCAATATTATTTTACTTCAGTCACACAACCAAACAGACGCGCAGGAGAATTTCATATTCTGGTTTTGCCTCATCTGCATAAACTTATCGATGTGGCAGTAAGTAATCCCAAGTTCTTGACTCTTAATACCCAACAGCTCATTGTACTTGAAGAGAGAGAGAGCAGGCAGCAAATTTTCACCTATTGCGACATTATCTCATTCTTGTAGATAATGTTCGATTTTCCCAATACTTCGCTTCCCTCCCTCATTCATGGGGTCAGAGCTGCACACAAAGTTTTCGTTCATGTCAAGAACTCCTTTGGAGATTGGAGTAAAACGTAAAAATGGTAATCGTACCAGTACTAGTGGATGGAAGTAAAGCAGTATAAATACGCATTTATGCTGGTCTGCTGCTCCCACTTTCGGTGGTAGCAGTAATGTGCTTATTCCATGTTTTTGCCAAACTCTAACAAACATCAGTGTTACAACTGCAGACTCACATTCTCCACGACTGTGTAGTAAAACTTAGTAGTACAACAAGTTTGGTCTTCTTCATGCTACCCTGCAGAAGATTAGTTTTTTGGGAAGAGGAAGAGCAGATGTGTTGTCTACATCTAAATTTAGTTATAAATTGGTATTAGGTGGCAAGCACCCCGTGGAGATTAGATTCTGGTGAGGGATCCTGAGTTCTTGCTACACGCAAAGGAAATAAGTATAAAAGAGCCTATGATTTACGTTTTATAATTTGAACGCATGAACGTATAAGAAATCCATATAAAAACGGCTTAATTTTTTGCCTAAATACCATAGAGTATGGTGCAAGCATATGGGTTAAAATGAAGGTTGATTCGATCATACAAAAATGTAGAAAGATGCGGTCATTCGATTAAAAAGATTCGTCGCTGTCGATTAAAAATGCGGTCAATCAATACTATCGCATTAGGTTATATGCGGCCTATATTATATATACATGTATTAAACTAATTATTTATAAAGGCGTTATTAGATACTTTGTAAAAGGAAGCCATAAACAATTAATAAAATAAATAAAATAAGACGCTGCTCTTAGAAATGGTCAAAGGCCCAGGTCGATGGGGTTTTTAAATTTATTTCATTTCCTATAAATTGAGCCAGTAAAGATAATAAAGAGAGATTTGTAATCGGGTTGTATATTAGTTTCTTATTTATTGTTGACACGGCATCTCCATCAGGTTTGTGTAGCAGGATTGGTGATCTGACTCTACCTTTGGGAAGACATCTCTCATAATTCTGCCGAAGTATTTGTCGTCAACTTCTTTTTTCTATGGACATATACTGTATACCGAATTATGACGTAGCCTATTAGCGGGTGGTTGAATATCAACAATCCTGTACTTCTTCTTGATCCAGAGACGAACTTCTAGGACACGCCGTGAAGGTCGGACGTATGAATCCTTAACTACAGACTTATTTTCAAGTTCCCAGGTTACCCATTCTTTTCTAGCTTCTTCAGATAAGGTATCATGATGTATGTTCCATGGGATTGGTTGTTGCTGCGTATTATTTGGGTCCCCCAAATATGGTACTCCCTTTGGACCCCTACAATACAAATGGTAGTTCGCGACTGTTCCAACGAGGAATTTTGAAAATCCTGTCCCATTTTGAAATTCAGTCACTGATGGAACTATAGGCTGCAAATGTAAGTTGGTGTTCAAAGCATCTACTATTTCTTTTGCGTATTTTGATAATTTGATCAGGCAAGGGGCTGAACTTGTTGAACAAACAGAGTCCAAAGCACCTAAAGTATAAAAAAATATGGATAAGCTGTTCGGAAATATTCATGGTTGAGTTATACTGGTCTACCATTGTCTGTTATGTACCTCTTAACCCCATCCTAAGACTAGTTCCACTAATGGTGGTTGAAGACCACAATGGCAAAGCTTCAGCGTCGGAGGCGAGATAATCCATCTCGCCAGATTTAAGGAAATATCTTTGGTAAAAAAATATCTAATTATTTTATTAAATACTTATAATAGAACCTCTGTGTGTACTGACCTGATGGCACAATGGTCGTGAGTTAGGTCATCGGCCTTATTTTCTCCAAGATTTTCCGTCCTTACATGTTGCGCCATATCCTCGACCGTTTTCGAAAGAGTTGCCAATCCGACGACAATATGTCCATTGTACATCTTGTTTCTGTCACGGAGTGGGACCCAGTACATCACATGCCCTATTAATTAATTATAGTTTATGTAACATTAAATTTGTTTGTTAATGTGATGTTTGTAAAATTACCTTTGGTTTGTGCTTCTCCATCAACAAAAAAAAGGAGTCCACCTTTGACGACTTTCATTAATAGTGGAAGATTTGACTACAAATAATAATAATAAAATTTATGTATTCGTTTTTGTTAGTATAATAATTTCAATTAAATTAAATATCTATCTAATCATCAGTTGTATATATGAGTTCTTTTACTTTGATTTTCTTCGTTTGTGTGTGCATAGAATCATCTGAAGTATCTTGACTTGATCTCTTCGTAGATGTACTGGGTCCTGAGGAGCTTCTTGACAACTGCGATAAAAGTGTAACCTCTCCCATATCCCCCTCTATTTCTTGTGTTTGATGCCGCCCAACCTGTCCATTTGATGTAGATGGTCGAGATATCGTTGTCGTCGCCATAGCTTGTTCCCGGTGTGTTGACAATGTTGTCGATGGTTTTGACATCATCTTTTGACCCCTCACGCTTGTACCCCTCCCCCTGCTAACAACTAAAGGGATATCGTCGTCTTCATCGCTAGACTGTAAATTAAATAAAAATTATATATAAATTTGTACAATATAACTCATCTAATATTTTAAAAAAACTTACAACTGTCATTTTTGGCTTAGATTTGGAGCCCCTACCAGCACCCCCACGTCGCGAGTCCATTTGTTAATTTTAATAAATAATTTAAAATTTTAAAAAAATTTCGTTAATTAAAAGAACTTTCGCATAATAGTGGAATGCACGCAAATTATTTAAGAAATAGAAATATATATTTTGGATATAATATTTCTTGCGTGCGTGAAGTGAGCAAAGGAACGACTTCCTTCCAGCTCAAGTTACAATCGAAGAGTGAGAGGGAAGGGTTCGTGTGCCGGCTCGGCACATTTCGGCACGCAGGGATCCTCCATGTACCACGGAACACCGATTTGCTTGTCTGCTCGCACATCTACTTAAAGGTATATCATAAAATTTATGCATACAAGCTAACCTTTATAACAATTTTTGCTTCATCGTTATTTACTGACTAAAACGTTTTGACACAATCAGTGAATCACCCCGTGGAGATTTCCTTCACTTCCTATCTGCAAATGGCTGATAGTACCAGCACTCACCGAATCCTTCCATGTCGACTACTATACAACTGGCTCTTTCACTCGCCAGGCTTTTCTGTGCCCAGAATGGTGCTGAAACTCTCAAGTAGTGCACTTTAAATAAGCAAAATCTTCTCCCTGCTTTTGTTGCTGCAAGCCCTTATATGCTGGTCCTCGATTCTTTCCTCCTCAACCAAGTACACATGCACACACACATCGCATTCAAAATATAAACTACAATTCGTTCAGCCGCATCCGAAGCAACCGTGAAATGAAAAAAAAACTCGCGAAAACTATCATCCATCCATGTCAGGCGAGCTTTGGCCAGTTGTAAACCATGCCCTCCTCTCAATCCGTCTCAGGTAAATGGTTCGAAGAGACCGGACACTAAACAATCTAGTCTGAACGACTTTGGACTTTCAAATAATAAGCAACATAAAACTGTTTTTTTACATGTGGGAGTTTACTTTGTTGGAGCATTAGTCCATTCGTTTACTTTATTTCTGAAAGTTTTTCTGAAAATTTTGTCAAGGCCAAAACTTGTATTAAACTAATTGTGTGAAGAATTTCATCATTCATGCTCAAAACCCCCATGCATTCATTTATGTATCTAATTATCTCGTGCACAAATAAAGGCCGAAGAAAAAGAATCAGAATAGAAACAACATGTTTCAAAACATTTGTGGAATATTGCTTTACTTTTTCAAGCAGCACAAAGTACTAACCCCGGACAATGTTATGAATGCAAGTTTTGGATTTTCTTCACTTTGCACGAAACATTAACCTCTTGTATTCTTTCATGCCGACCAAAAAAGAAAATACCTCAGTCGTTGTTCCAACGATTATTTTTGAAGGGAATAGTTGCTATTAATTATGTAGTTCGAAGTTTACAAATTTGTTGCATTCCAGTAGACATGCAACTGGAATTCTGCTACATGCACACAGTCGTCTAGTCGAGTCGAATGGGAATAAATGCCATGAATGAAACTTTTCATGTGGTGGAGGCCAATGCTTGTCTTCGAATGAAATCGCAAAGGCAAATTCTGTGCAATCTGCGTTAAGTCGTTGTCTCAATCATTGACAAGAAAAATTAAGTTCTAAAGAATCTACTGTTTCTGTCCTACGTTCACACCATTTTTTACTATTGCAAACCATTTGCAGAATACAAGCTTTATGTTTACACATAATATCGTAATTTGGTGCTATTCATTAATGAATAGAGCGAATGTAGGGGAAGGTAAAAAAGTTGGGGAACCAGAGATTACACATTTCTTTATATGTATGAGTCATATTTTTGTTAATAATAAAGTCCTATTAATGTAAAACGAGATTTAACACTAGCCTAAAGTGTGCCATCAAAAAGTATTTCCTCGTTTTGTTATAAAATACTGGTCGAAAAAAATTGTGGTATTTATTTAAACGACTCAATTTACTTACTTAAGGGAAAGGGTGTGTTGATGTGTAAAAAAATCTAAATTAAAATCCACACCGAAAATGAAGATTAAACTGGTGCCATTACTAAATAAAACTAACGTCGGCAAGGCAATTCAATTTTAAATTTGTCTGGGATACATAATGTGTTTTTTTGTTGAGCAGCGATGGTGGTGGTATTGGTAGAAACGATATGATGATCAAATGAAATGGGCTGAAATCACCAGCATTTCTTATTAAGACGTTGTTTGAACAACTGTGACATATCGGGAGGAGACTTTGTCTGACTCTAAGCAGGACAATTTTGTGGGTTCGTTACAGTTTATTAAGTAATTTAGAGGACAAAAGTACGCAACGCCTTCTGGCCTCCACAGTCCCAAATGGCCAAATCAGAAAGTAAAACAAGAAAACGAGTTTTATAACAAGCAAAAGACAAGACAACCATCCGACTTTAATGCTGCTAATAGAGCACATACAATGGAGAATACAGGACCATTACATCACATACCAAACTAGTTGCACAACATAACTTCCCAATATCCGCTGTTGTTCGCCTTCTTTAGTTCTTTCTATATAAGGCCCAACAACAGATATGTGGCGCTGGAAGAAGAAGCAACACACACATGCATACGTACATACGTACACATGAGACGGATAAAGACAAAGTTTTGTTGGTATGGATGGGTCCTCCAACGCCAGAAAATCTTTGAGCAGTCTAAGGGCACTTTCTTTTCCCGTAATTTCTTTCTTTAGTTGTGTGGGACTGGTTGGTAGTGCGGTTGGCGGTGCTCTACTTGTTGGAAATAATAGAATGAGGAAGAGTAACACAGCTCCATTAGAATTTATCTTCTTTGGAGAGAATGTAATGTAATCCAAAGAAATGGTGCTGCTCTCATGGCAATGGCCAACCTCCTTGGCCTCAGAATAATATCTCTCAGGAATTGCTTGTTTTCTGTCGCTTTCCGCTTTCATTCACATCCTTTTACTCTTTTACGACAAGGCGCAAAAAATTCTGACAACTCCATGATTTTTCAAAATGGACGCACGAGACTAGAAATAAGTCGGTATAATAACGTGATGCTGCAAGGTGCCAGAAGGTGTCCAAGTCACAGATCATCGGTGGGCTGAATTAGATTAAAACAGAAGAATAGCTCGTCCTGGTTAATGAATGAATTGACTTAATTTTTAAAATTATTAATACTACTGATTGTATGCAACTCCAGAATTAAGATTCATTATTTAGTATGAAAATATCAATATGCAAACTTGAATAAGTGTAAGAATTGTCATTCTTGTTAGAAAAATAATAAATCAAACAAAGTAACATCAACCAACCATCATCCGAGTCCAAAAACGTTACTATTATTATACGAAAAAGTGACATATAGCAGACCTCGCAATAATTTTAACGCCTTTTTGACACTAATTAGTCCATTAGTGTGTGGAAAGTTTATTCTATGTACCAGTTCAATTTTGTATTCTTCACCATCCAACACATTTCCAGTCGGACATACGCGAAGGATAATTTCATAACTCGTCCCTTTGCACATTATTTTCTTGACATAATATGAGATAAATGGCCTGGATAGTCTTTCATCTCTCACAGCTACCACCAAAGAGAGAGAGGACATTATACCCAATTATACCGCCTATGCATATACCACTATCTATCACCATCATATTTATCTACAGATGCAAATGTTCCCTGCAGTTTATTTATTATCTTGCCCACTATACGTCCGAAATTTGGTGTGGCAAGAGTAAAACGTTAAAGACAATCACGAAACCAGCAACTCGTTCAGATGCACAAGTTCGTCTTTCTAACAATGTCTTTCCTAATCAAATTGATTTAAAGATTGAAATTTGTACGAATAAAGGCAACATTCTTATCCTCGGTTATCTGGAGTAAACCAGAGTGTAGTCCACATGGATAACATGGCGAGAGAATAAGTTTTAGGGAACGAAACACTGTCAAACTTTGAGAGTGGAAGGAAAGGGAGGAAGTGTGGGGAGACCGCATCGGTGAGGCGTCAAATTGACCCAGTCACATTGACCCACGACACATTGACCCGCTCATATTGACCCAACGACAGATTGACCCGATACCATATTGACCCAGCGACAGATTGACCCGGCACAATATTGACCCACGTCATATTGACCCCATGCTATACCTGGACATACTGTATTTTTCATACAAAAAAACTTAATTTTATTTCATATTTCATTTCTGGTCAAATATTCCAATTAAAAATTGAATTGTTCTAATAATTATTGGTCGTCTTTTTCTTATGTGAGGCTAATTTAAAGTATTGATGAAAGACACAACCCTCCGATACAATTTCAAAAACATAAAATATATTCTGTAATTTCTTTAATACGTTATAATTTATAACTTATAAACGACAAGAAACCGGGTGCTGTCGTCAAAAATCGAGCAAAGAGACATAAAAGAGAAAAAGGCATCAAAAAGCCAAAACGGCACGCAAAAAGATAATAGGGCATTGAAAAAGGCATGAAGCAATAGCAAAAAGGCTGCCTTCCTTGCACACACTGCTTGGACGACTACACTGTGCTACACAGTGCATCTTCAAAATCTGAACAAAATAAAATTTTTGTCAACCGTTTGATGATATTTTCTTAATATTTGCCCCCATTGAGTGGGTGTGGTGGGCGCAAATGTGGTCATACCATCAAAACACTTAGGGGCTTATGTTCATTGCATGTGCACTCTCTCTTCTTAAATTAAGAATCTTAATACAAATACCTATTACAATAGGTATTATTACCGTACTAGTATACTAGTACCGTTGGTTAAATGATTTCGTTACTAATAGATTAAGGAATTTTACAAAAGGAGGACCAATAATTATTAGAACAATTCAATTTTTAATTGGAATATTTGACCAGAAATGAAATATGAAATAAAATTAAGTTTTTTTGTATGAAAAATACAGTATGTCCAGGTATAGCATGGGGTCAATATGACGTGGGTCAATATGGTGCTGGGTCAATTTGTCGTTGGGTCAATATGGTGCTGGGTCAATCTGTCGCTGGGTCAATATGGTGCCGGGTCAATCTGTCGCTGGGTCAATATGGTATTGGGTCAATCTGTCGCTGGGTCAATATGAGCGGGTCAATGTGACTGGGTCAATTTGACATGCAATCGACCGCATCTTCCCTTTTCCGCAGGCAACTTGAATATTTTCACGTAAAGCTCGCACAACGAGTTGGAATGTGTAAAATAAGCTGTCTTGTCTCCCTCCACTCCCAAAACTCCTCTCTCAACTACCCAAATGCTCCGTTCTCAGGTGTAGTCAGTAAGATGAGATTACGAAAGATGAGAATGAATGGATGAAGCGGTGTGGCTTCAATGTTTAGATTGGACCAAATGCTCTGAAAATCCAGTCTCAGGCAGACGAGAGCTGAGCACATAAATGTAAATCTTCCATGGCGAACTGTCATTACGAACTCTACCCGCGACTTACTCACATTTTATTAGCAGTTAACGAATAATATAACAAGGTTTGGTGGTGGTGCAGCCAATTTTTTGCAGTGTAATATGGTCGATGACGGCCAAACCTAGCTTTTTCTTTGAACTTGAAAACTTTGGCTTGAATTTAATCGAGGAGGAGATGAGAGAAGGAGAAGAGGGAAAAAAATATATTTCATTCAGTTCAACATGAGCATGAGGTGGTGGTGAACTGGTTTTTAAGCTCTTCGGTTTGCTTTGCTCGAGACAATCAGGGATTTATGCTCTCTCAAAAACAATGACTCCCAATTATCAAAATATAGTTTATCATGTACTCTTTAATTCATTACTTTTATGCTTTGGGCCTTCGTGGGGAAGGTACATCTGCACACACGCGGTTAAGAATTCTGCTTCGGTCATCTCTAAAATCTCCTATTGTATTTCCAAGGGAGCAGTCAAGAAACTTGGGGAGAGCTGATCAGAGCTCAAAAAGGGAGTTGCCTCCTGCGCCCGTAAATTCCGGCTGAAATGCTTATGTGACGTGTTTCGAAACAGACGAGAGAGGAATGAGGCAGGCTTTTTTAATGTGAACATGAGATGGATGGATGAAAACAACATTCAAAGAGGAAAAAGGAGGAACACAGATTTAATTATGGATGAAATCCCAAATTGCGAACCAGTAGCAATAGCTGCATTGTCATCATCAAGTTGTACGTGCAAAAGCTACTGTTTTCCAATCTATGCAGACAAGGATGCATATGCACACAGAGCCTGAGAGACGATCTTATCCTCCCGCAGAACAAAATACAACTACAATTACACCTATTTGCCTGGAAATCGTGCGTAAAAAATGACAGTGGAATGCGTTTCTGGCTTTAATTTTACCGATGGAAGAATTGACTTGGCTCAAAGGAATTACATACGTTAATAAATTTGTACCAAGAAGACAGGCACAAGGAGGAGGAGGAGGTTTACCTTTTGTTGTTAGAACATACCATGAAAACCACTATGTATAATGCACTCGGTCGTCGTCATCATCATCACCACCATCATCTAATCTTACAGAGCACGAGGTTTGCCAGAGAAAGAGAGGAGATAAAAATCAAAGTGACTAAATCTTACACTTGTTAAGACGCCAAGCTAACCAACTCCCGCTCGGATTATCAAAGCACTAAATTAACTTTTCTAAACAAGTACTTTTCATTTGCTTTTAAAGCCCGAAAAATCTACTGCACGGAAAGACGTCGATAGAGTAAAGGCGACATTTTCATTTATTTCGAGCTTTTACATAAATCTTTCCATTTTCACATGAATTCCTAAAATTACCAGGATTTGACATATCTATTTCAAGTCAATAAATTCTACTAGCAATTACCTTCGAACAGAATTTACCACATTCCTAAATTTAGTTTTCAGTATTCTTGAAATAACAATGCAGGATTATATATACTTTGCCCAGCCTAATACCTACTTGCACTTCACGACCAGTGTACAATGCCCCACAATTAGATGCTTTGTTAAACCAAACATCGAGTTCGTCACGCAGTCATTTACATAGCCATTTATTTACTTGGGTAACAATATGCTATCAAGCAAGAAAATTCTTATTTTCAGAGAACTGAATTAAAATTTTACCTATTAAATTTAGCGACTCAATTGTATTTAATACAATCATTTAGCTGAGGATGAGTGGTCATTTGCTAGTGATGCAGTTAATTTTATCTGATAATATGTTTATAAGTTTGTGTACTTATTTCCTGCCCTAACAAATTAAGTACTAATATGCACAGATTCTAGCACATGTGCGTATGTAACGATTGACCTTTAAAATATAAATTTCAGACAATGGAATTATAGTTCGGCAGTAGCCATTTGTGGTGTGACATGGAATTTTCTATCGCCACTGCATTTCTCTTTTTGTCTCTAATTTCAATTAATGGTTACGAGCATGAAACATAATGATGTTTTTTTATTGGTTGGGTTTCGGTATATCAATTACCACTACGGCAGCAGTCGTCAAAGAGGATGGCATTGGTTAGTTGAACTTGTATAGGGATGATTACAAGCTGGGATGAAATCAATCAGGATAAATTCACTCTCACTTACCTAGAAACAAGAACAGAGAAATTATTCATTAATTAATCTTCATCATGAACATTAAACCGAGACAAACAATAATTCAATGTCATCATATCGTGAGTTTGAAAACTAACAGTCTTCAAATACAATGGGAGAATTGAGTTGAGAAGAGAGAGCCGGAATATGCACATGAGTAGTTTGTCCATCCGCTAAAGAACCATTAAACCTTCTCCAACTGGTCAAATTTGATTCTTTCAACAAACCTTTGATGAAATGACGCGATCTTGAAATAAATAAATACTCAATGCAACGAGCAACAAAACTCGCAATGATCGGAATTTTTAATCCGACTACAAATCACTTTTATTCCATTGTGTTTGCACCATAATGGAATAATGGATGCCTTGAACTATTTCATTAGTATTTCGTTTCACGTATATACTACCGAACAGTGGACAACTATATACGAGACTTATGTATAATGCTAATGATTTAAATAAAATACATTTTGCATCAAGAATAAGTCGGCACAATTGTGTTCCATTCAGACGCTGGCTTCACTTTCCATTGCAAAAATCATGCCCAAGACGCATGATTTAATGTTATCAAGTGAACAAATACCTAGTTAAATACATATCTAAATACTTGGAATATTGGTGGTGGCCCTGCTGAAAAATTATTTCGGCCGGATTGGCGCATAACAGTGGGAGCTCCATTGGGCACGTTAAGCGGATAGTTTTAATACATTAACCCACAATCTAAATATCTATCCATCTCCAGAAGAAATAATAAATTATTATTAAAGCCCATCCGAGCGGAGGATTATATGAAACTGGCAATCAGCACAGCAAGGTTCCATATGAAACAATGCTAGTGTAATGTGCGAGATGTAATAATAAAATTGCAACTTGCAACAGTTTGAAGCCTTCATGGAGAAAACTCAATCGGAATACAAAGTGGCTTTTATTGGTAGCTGCTGTACATTTGGTTGGTTGGACCTTACCATATCGTGCCAGACCAGTGGACGAATATCAATTGAATCGCTCCACTACCATTACTCGATGATACAGAATTTCTACAACTTCAATTTAGTTAGACAATCCACTAACTAACTAACTAACTAACCGACCAGTGCCTTGTTTCATTGCCGCAACTTTTTGCTGACTCCTCGTCTTGGGAGCATTCAACAATTGGGTGAGCCGTGCTGGGCCGACAACGATGGAATAAAATTGGCAGCCTTGAGTCTGAAATCTGAATGGATGATGGTAGAACAAAAAACAGAGACTCATTACAACCGGATGAAAGCAATCGCTGAAGGCTTTTCATAAAAAAATGTGATATTAAATTACATGAAGATTCTCATCAAACCAAACTTGAAACTTTGTGCCCAACTTGATTTGTTCATATTTTCTCGGTCGGTTCATAAATGATTTTGATTATACAGATTTTTGCTACCAGATAAGCAAATTGCATATGTGTAGCTATATAACCCTACAACCCAACCAGCAGCTTTGTATCAGCGTTGAACATCTGCAACATTTTATTACAGCAAGAGATACTATCTCTAAAGT